AATGATTCAAATAATTAGTGAGAAGCATATCTAAATTCCTTGCGAACTTCTATCTTACTCTTTTTGGAAGATCCACCTACTTTAAAAGGGTTCGTAAGAGAAAAATAAATGGCCTCTGTGTGTGTGTGTTTGTGTGTCAGTATCTCCTCGGACAGCTGTGTGAACAACAGAACTAGAGCACCCTAATGCATTTCTGTTTTCATGTACTGTCTTTATCAGCAGCCTAGGTAAATCTCTCTTAGTACATTTGCTACTCTTCTTGAGTGGAAGGAGACAAGTGATGGTTTCTTGTACTCTATTCCCCTTTTCTAATGATGTGCTTACCCAGTAGTAAAGCAGGTAGATTTACCAGGTTGTTAGTGAGCCTTTAAAGGTAGTGGAAAGAACTAACTTCTAACTCCTTTTTTTTGGAAAATAAATATTAAATGAGTGTATCTGTTAAAACTTGAATGTCATTATTTTAAAATCAAAATCTCCTTTTTTAAAAAAATTAACATTTTCCTTATCATATATGAGACGAACTTACCCACTAACCTTTCCATTTTCAGAAACTTCCTTTGACTTGAACTAAGATGTATTAGAAAAGAAGAAAAACATATAAAAATCAGATCCTGATGTTTTGCAAGAATTTTCATAATCAGAAATACTCATGTTTCTTTTCTTCTTGACATCTAATATTCCCGTTTTTCCTCTGAATCTTTATATCTTCTCTAATGTATATTGTGTACAGAGGTTCAAAAGACTATTTTTTTCAGGGTGCTTTTCATTAGTTCTATTTATAAATTTACTTTTCTTACTTTGCAGCATCCTCTGTCCGGACTATTTTTGCCATCTATTTAGTGGCATCATGTGATAGCTGGTATATTGACGGATGTAATGCTATTTAACAGCAAATAGTCTATAGACAATAATTAGGGAGTATTTCTTTGACTGAAGCTGTTAATATTTATCATAGAAATATAAGGTTGAAACAGACAGATTAGCCATATATATTGGTATCTAACAGTACACAATCTCTAGTGGGTATGTGAATGTTTAATTGTCAAACGTAGTTGTTGCCTCCATGACATCTGCCTATGGATGTTGTAGGACAGTCACCTGTAAATTCTTTTAACAGCTTATTGTTATCTGTTATTTTAAAATATATCAAAGTTCTTTTAATTTATATAATATTATAATGCGCTCTCAGGCATAGATTTCTTAGGTACATAATCTAAAATTTTACCTACTATTTGCTCCTCCCTGAAAATAAAGAGGTTTGAGCTGGCAGAAGGTGCTCCATTCAGAAACCATATAGGGAATTAGGCAGCTGCTGTCCTTGGTGATGAAATCATTTCATGTGAATTCTTAAGGAAAACAACTAGTTAAAAAAGCAGGATAATCTTAAGTGTATTGTTTGTGGCTACTGTTGGTATGAAGATAGATCTATCTGAACTAGAAAAATACAGACTCCAGTATCTTAATGTCTTGAGTTCCTGACTGCCATGCAGAGGAAATGTTTAACTATTTTAATCATGTTTCTGTATCTCAGAAAGAAAGCCCTTATGAGAGGAAATGACAATGTCCTACCACAAAGTTATCTCTTATCAGTTATAGTCTCAGTCGATAATGATTTGTCAAACTTGGACATGTGTAAAATGCAAGGGCTGTGTTATTTACTTTGGAAAGGAAAAATTAGATGAAGCTGATAAAGACGGAGTCATGGCTTTTGTTAGGAGACAGAAACCATTAGAGGCAGTCATTGTTAGCTTAGGAAAGTGTCCTTGGACCCCTCCCTCTGCCCCAGCTGAAACCTAAACCTGCTTGGATCATTCTTTGCAACCTGAGGGGAGGCAGGGGCAATGGAGAAGAATGAAGACAGCTCTGACAGAGATTTAGTATTTTTTAAATAGTGAGCAAAATGTGGACCTTGAAATAGACTATTTATGTGAGTTAGGAAACATTGCCTTTTGTTCTAGTACTCCTTCCCCACTCCCATTTATTTAGGTTTTTGAAAGTTCATTTCTTATCCTTTCAAACGTGTAGCATTCCTTCACGTACAGTGTATGTTGCTCTCCTCCTTCCACCTTTCTGAAGATGTAAGTGATTCTTTTTCATTAGTGGAAGCAGAGAAAACACATCTAGCTCAAAGCAACATGAGTCAGTGCATGCTTTACATACCTTTCTTCTCACAGCACTCTTCTGGGTTCCTCACAGTGTTCCTAGTGTTCCTCACAGAAGGGAGCATTGAGGAAAAATGATTTCTAAACAGTAGGCTATTTGGAGGGTGGAAATAAAGTTTGCCCCATTCTGCTCCTTCTTGTCTAGATTTCTGTGTACCACTTTCAAAGCAGGAAAGCATGTGCTGCTTAGGGGGACTTAACTGGATTATGATTTCAGAGGCTAAGAAATAGCAGAGCCAGTACTTCCAGGTCAGAGTACTTTAAACAGTTTGAAGCTGAATATGATGATGTCAAGACAGCCTCATAGAAAATAGGTTTGATAAATATTTGGTGGAGATGACAGGAAAAGCCTTTGTCTCCTCTCTAATTATATTTATTTTTTATTTGGCCCAGATAAAGCAGTCTTCTCAGAACATTAGTAAAGGGCCCCATTAGGTTATTTGTCACAGATTTCTGGGGAAACTGTCCCCTAATGTGGATGTTCATTCTGTAAGGATGGGTCTGACTTGTGAAAGGACCAAGGCTCTGTCTGAGCAATGGTTAGAAGCAGTTTCCTTTTGAATGAAACCAGGGCTCTGAGTTCAAAGCAAAACAAAATAAATAAACTGCATGAAGAAGAGCATATAAACAAAGTTGTGATGAAATTTGTTTAAAATTAGGTAAAGTTTTCTTAAACTTTTTTAAAGTATATATTTCTAAAAAATAACTTTATAATTGTTAATTCTAAATAAAGGGAAAAAGTTTCATTTTCTATACAGATCAAAAAAAATTTTTTTATGCATTTCTTTCTTGTCTTTTTTTATATGCACATGTAATTTTTAGGTAATTTAAATACTATTGTAAATATAATTTAATGGAAATTTTCTATTGTTTCTTCTTTTGAGATTGTTTTCCACTTAGCTCTAGTTTTCACTAGTAGGCTCTGGTTTTTTGGAAAAATAAAATAACTTTCCTTGAAATCTCCACTTCATAGAGGAGTGACTGTAAACGTGCTTTAATATTGTGGTCATTTCAAATAAGAATGCCTGAAATGATCACCTGCTGCCTCTTTTTGTGTTAAGATGAAAATGAGTATCCATTGTACTCTTAAAGTTAGAAATTTTACATGCTTTTTAGTCGTACTTTTCTTTACCTACATGGTGCCCATCTGTCCATAAAATGTTTTTCTCAGTAATTTGGCAATGCTCACTAACTGTTTCTTTCTCTTTTTTCTTTTTGGCCGCACCACACGGCATGTGGGATCTTAGTTCCCCGACCAGGGATCGAACCCACGCCCCCTCCATTGGAAGCGTGGTGTCTTAAGCACTGGACCGCCAGGGAAGTCCAATGCTTACTAACTTTTCTAAATGCCTTTTTTTTTTTTTTAAAAGGGAAACTACGCTTTGGCCATGGTGTAGGATCTTAAGCACCTTATCATCTTTGGATTCACAAAAAGTTTGTTTTGAGTGCTTACAGAGTGTACACTGTATAGAATGAGGTTCCCAAACATAGAGATTTAATCTCTACTCTCATGGATGCAAAGCAAATGAACAGAATAGTCAATAAACTTGAACCAATATATAGAGAGATGCAATGGTTTTGGAGGGAAGAGAAAGTAGGTATTGTACTGTTGAATTGCAGAATGAGTAGATTTCATTAGGAACAGCATCTTGATGAAGAATCTGTTACCTAAAGAAGATATGAGGCTTACTTTATGAAGTAAAGGAAACTGACCTTGTAATCATGAATCAGCCCAACCCAATTTAGATGTGCCTGCTGCCTATATGCTGATAAATGATACAGTTACTAGTGTTACAGTAAAAACTTCAGCTAGGTCTTTATTTTGACTACTGTATTTCTTTATGTGATTTTGTCCTTTTTGTTTTATTTTGTTTAATACTTGCTTTCAGTGTTTCCTTTTATTTTTGTTAAATTTCTCTGGGTCAACTGGATAGTTTGATAGTTTTTTTTTTCAGATGAGGAAATTGAGGTCAAAGTAAAGTGTGACTTATTCATCGTCACGATTGTAACAAATCAGTTTTAGCACTGTGACTATACTGCAGTTCTTACCTGATGTTTTTTGTTTTACTTTCTCTTTTGATGTCTAGGATTAATCTGTATGCATTGTTCATATTACAATTTTTTGATATTACTCTAGGTTTGGTTTTCCATTCATTATCTTACTTTTAAAAATATAGGGACTTCCCTGGTGGCGCAGTGGTTAAGACTCCGAGCTCCCAATGCCCGGGTTCGATCCCTGGCCAGGGAACTAGATCCCACATGTGTACTGCAACTAAGGAGCCAGCGAGCCATAACTAAGGAGTCTGCAAACCACAACTAAGGAGCCCGCCGGCTGCAACTAAGACCTGGCACAACTAACTAACTAAAATTTAAAAAAAAAATCATCTCCCCCTCTTCCTGGCATATTTCTGTATTTTGATTGCATGCTGACTTAAATATTCACTGATTCTTATGCCCTTCAGAAGTTGCCTGGCAGGCCATTCAAGTGGCAAGTTTTGTTTTTGACCACTGAAACTTAGTTTTTTTATGTAGGGTACCATGTATCTAAGGAGACAAAGTCAAGTTAGCAAAGTCACATTTCCACCTTTTTCTTTTCCTTCTTTTTCCTGCAGCCTCCAAATTGTCTCTAAAAGCAGATGCAGGACCAGTTACACCTGTTTCTGTTCTGTGTCCCAACATTGGTGATATCCTCATTGTTTATTAATGCCATGGCTGAAATGCCAAAACTAGGTGTCTGGAAGCATACTTTTTTTTTTAGCACTTGAGTATTAAAAATGAGTACAGTTGCTCTTAATAGCCTTGTTTGAATATTTTATGACAATCTTGGTTGTTTTGCAGGTACCTGGGGCCCAAGATTTGGTTGATTTCTCTCCTGTTTATCGATGTCTACACATATATTCTGTCCTGGTGAGTCTTTATCTGGCTCTGCCTAATAAAAATTTATATTGAATTCAAAACTCTGCATTCTCATATTTGATAGTTTTTCTGTTTAGTATTAAGAGTAAGGAATAAGAAACTGTTACTTAAGGAGTGTCAATTATTAAAAAAATAATTCTTTTCTTCTTGAATCTTTTATTTGTGTTTGCCATGTGATATGCTATAGCTAGTAATGTTAATTTCTATCAGTCATCAATAGATTATTAGATTATACCTAGAAATAGTGACACACAAATTCAGATTTCTATTCTTAATTTAATAATGTAGTTATTTATACAATAGCCTATCTTTACATATTAAAATAATGTTTGTAAAAACTGTTTGCTTTATCATTCCTGATAATTCTTCCTTTGTCGTATAACACATATGGGAAGAGGAACCTCTCTGGGGAGAAATATTATAGGTATTAATGGGATTCTAAGAAAGGCGCTTTCTCCTTCTTGGTAGTACACCTACATGCAGACACACAGATACATACGCTCAATAAAAAAATTAAACTATGAAGCTAAAGTATCATCAAAGACAAATTGATGAGAGAAGTCCATTATCGATATATTTTATAGCAAAGTTCAGTGAAACTTCTATCATGTTGTTTTTAGTATATTTGAATATGTCTTATTGCCCAGTGTGTTATCCATTTTCTTTCCTCATATATTTACCATAGTGTCACTTAGTCATTACTGCAGATGGTTTGGGTGGACGTTATGGCCTGAAGTATTTTTGGTGATCTCCAGTAGTTTGAGCAAAGAACTGATAGTTTCTTCTCCTCTCCTCTCCTTCCTCCTCCCATTTCTCCTTGCTCTCTGCTTCCCTCTTTCCCTCTCCCTCTTTTCTCACTCTCTATTTCTTCTCTCCATTTATCATTCTTGCTATATATAGATGAAGCAAGATATAGATAAAATTGTATCAAGGCATCTAAAATAAGTCACAGTTTCTTTTCAATATCACGTACAGAGAGTTAAATAAATTATAAACATTTTGGTTTGTGACACACTCTTTTCATCATTTCATACAAGGCCCCTGTTGTATTTTATTTTATCATGTTTTTTCCATTCATCCCATGTCCATAAGCCCATTTGTCTCTCATCCCCAAGTATACTAACTCTAATATGTTTAATATATGATCATGGTTGTGTTTGTGTCCTTGAAAAATATATAGTGACTTGTATATGTATTTGTTTTTATCTTATTCAGATAGTATTGTCTTATGGACCTAGTTCTATTTCTTATATCTTTTGCTTAGCGCTATTTTTAATATCTGTCCTCCTTATAGTCTGTATATCTAGTTCATTGCCTCCCACTTAAACGTGATAGTTAATTGATGGTTTGTATTTGCTGTATTTAATTATCTATTACTTTAGTGATAACACTTAAATTGCCTATAATATTCTGCTGTAACAAATAGTACCCTCTTATGGACTGGTGTGTAAGTTTCTATGTTTTTTATACCTAGGCATGAAATTCTTGGGTTATAAGGTATATGTATCAATATAATATTTAATTTCACCAATTTCTAATTTCTGCTAACCTGATGGATATTGATATCATTTTAATTTGCATTTCTCTGATGACTGGTAACATTATGCTTCTCTCTATAGACTTACTAATCATTTAAGATTTTTCTTCTCTGAACGGCCTACTTTTGGTCTTTGTTCAGTTTTTTTAATTGGATTTCTTGTTTTTGTCTTTTCTGTTTGCCGGAAAGAGACATTTCAGAAATTCTTCCAATATTGTAGATATTAACAGTTTAAGATATTACAGATATCTTTTTTCCAGTTTGCCACCAGATTCTAAACTATGTCTGTGTTATCTTTTGTGAAACAGAACTCTTTGATTTTAATATAATCAAGTCAATCAGTATTAACCTTATAATCTGTACTTTTTGATTCTTGTTTTTAAAAAATCCCTCTCTCTTTCAAGGTCATAGAGCATTCCTCTTCCATTACCTTTAACATTGTATCATTCACATTTTGATTTTGATCCATCTTGTTTTCACTGCTGTATGTATAGGTATGAGGTAGGGGTCCAACTCAATTGTTTTCTATGTGAGGAATTCAGTTTTATTAATCCCATCTATTACATAATCTGTACATCACTCAGTAATTCCTGGTAGTACATCTGGCATACACTAAATATTCATATTTATGTGAATCTGTTTCTCAGCTCTATAGTTTGTTATATTTGGTTTTGTAATATATCTACATATATAGTAAAAGAAGTACCTTCTAATTTTTCCTCTTTTAAATTGCTTTCACTATTTATAGAACTTTATTTTTCCATATATATTTTATAGTCAGTTTGACTTTATAAGAAAAAATTTCTTAGAATATTTGTTTGAATCAATTGAATTTATAGATAAGATTTGGGAAGAAGTGACCACTTTATAATGGTAAGTTATCCCATTTGTGGAAGAATAAGATCTACTTTAAAGTTATTTAATTAAGATGTGTTTCTATGTTAATAGCCTTGGGCATTTTTTTTTAAGTTAACAAGAAAATGCTTATAGTTTTTGTTGCTATTTTCTACTTTATTTTCTAATATTATTGCTGATATTGAGAAACACTATTGATTTTTGTAAGTTAACCTACATCTGACAACCTGCTCAACTCTTTTGCTAGTTATTGTAGTTTGTTTTTTTGGTTTATGATAGGTTTTCTGTGTAGTTGATCATAATATATGCAGATATTGACTTTGTTTCTTTTCTTCCTAGCCATATATCTCTTTGTTCTTATTGTGCTGTTGTATTGACCAGGATCATCATTACTTTGTTGTCTAGTAAAGTGATAGTGGACATCCTTCTCTGTTTTCTAATTTCAAAGAGAAAGTATCTAAAGTTTCTCCATTAACTTGATGTTTGCAATAGGATTTTGGTAAATATTCTTTAGTTATTCCTAGACTTCTTATAATTTTTTATAAAACCATAAATGAGTACTGAATTTTATTGATTTTGTTTTCCAAATATACTGATATAATGCTATGGTTTTTATCCTTTAATTCATGAAGGTGATGGATTTCATTGATAGATATTTCTGATATTAAACAATCCTTGCATTCCTTAGATAAATCCAACTTGATGAGGATGTATTACTGCCTTTTTTTTTTTAACACCCTGTGGAATTCAACTGCTTTTTGTTTATTTATTTTATTTTTAATCTTTTTTGTGTTTCTGGCCATAGTTTCCTTTTCTTTTCTTCTCTTTTTTTTTTTTTTTTTTTGCATTGTCTTTATGTGGTTTGTAAGTCAGTGTTATTTTAACCTCATTAGAATTGTTGAACATTCTTCCCTTTTTTCTATTTTATAAAATGTTTTGTGTAAGATAGAAGTTATCTATTTATTGAAAGTTGAATAGAAATCACATATGCAGTAATACACATTTTTCCTTTGCCATGTACTTCCCTCCCCTTTCTCCCTTATTATCTTGCTTCCATGCTGCATGATTTTGTTTAGTCTCTTCAATAGTATGTATGGTTAAAGAACCATATTTGCTCATATAAAGTTTTATAAGCCTCATAATTGCAAAATCAAGTGCATATTTCCTTTCAAATAGTGTAAAGTCTTGAAAATGGGTAGTTTAGTTTAATGCTATATCCTCAGTACTTACAACAGTACTTAGTGTAGGTACTCAATAAATATTAGTTGAATGAATAGATAAATAAGTGGTACCTAAAGATGGATAAGTCAAGGACTTATGCTTTTACAAAACTATAATATATCAGGAAAGAAGTTACAACCTTTGAATGACTATAATATGACAGTACTATATCATCACTGTGTGTATGCTAGTTTTCTAAGCTTTATTAATATTTAATGATATAGAAAATATAACAAATTTTCCTCAAGTGAGAATTCTAGTAGTGATTCATAAGAGTACTGAGGTAATTTATTTGCACACTAGTGGTGTTAAGCAAGTCACCCAAACCTTAACTTTCTCATTTATAAAATGCAATAATAATTACCACTTAGTGCAGTTATAGATATTGTATGAACGGTGCCTATCTCTGGCACATAGTTGGCATTTAATAAATGGTAGTTAATATGGCAAAAATTATGTGTCTCTGATGTGGTCATTAGACATGTTATTGGTATTTTTCAAAGTATATGACAAAGTATAGACATGTTGATAGAGGTTGTAGTTTCTGCCATCAACATGCAAAGTTTATCAATTATTTAAAATTCACACATTCTTAAATATACAAAGCCTATATAATCTTAAATTGTGAGGACAAAACAGGGAGACCTTAAACTGCCCACTTCAAAATAAGTTCTATACACTGGTATTCAATAATATTAAAATATTTATTGTTCATAAATTTTAAAGCATTGTTTATATGGCAGAAACTGGCCTCTTCTCCCAATCATAACGTTTCTTGAGTTTTGAAGAAACACCCTGTCTCAACTAAGGTGATAAGAACTCAGCTCTATTTTTTCTGGAATACATGTTTATTTTTTAGATGTCGCTGTTCCATTCCTATAGGGAATTTAAATAACTCAAATATCTCATTTGCTAAAGCGAGGGCCACAGCATGTATAACTTCTAGGGTTGACTTTTCACAGCTTTTTGGGGGCAGTACTTTATCACTTTTCTGTATTTGTTTCCCCATTCTCAAATCACTAATTTGTATTATTGTATAATGAAAGGTAGCTCCTCATAATGTTAATGACAAAGATATTTAATATCAATATTCGTAATATTTTCTTATTTCCTGATGTACTTAATATTAACATTAGGCTTTAAGAAGAGATTTAGGAATAGAGAAATAGAGAAGCTTATTAGAGGACTGAGGAGAAAGTAGTTTTTCTCTCTCTCATTCCTTTCCATTCCTATACTTGTCTCTACTTCTTTACTCTTCATTCTCCCATCAAACCAGGATATTTATCTTTGTTCATACCACTACGCTGATTCTGTATCTTACTGGACTTTTCAGCTGCTTTTGACTTATGTTGACAGTTTACCACTTAAAACTCTTAAT